CAATTTTGAACCATGCTTGTTTCGAAGAATATGCTTGAGCTAATTTTAAAGTAAATGTTTTACAATAACACTCAAATAATAAATATAATTAATTTTTAATTCAAAATTCATTTCGGTAAAAAAAAGGAAAATTACGCACATATTTTATTGCAAGATAAAAATGAATCCTAGATGATTACCGTAAAATTCGGCGTATAACGCGCGCTTTTAACTAAAAAAATAAGCTCGAAAAATATGGGGGCACGTTAGACGCCGGGTGTAAAAATGAGAGCTTTTAAAAAAATTATAATAATAAAAAAGATGAGGATATATATATAGAGAGAGGGAAAAACTATATAGACCTCTACGCAGATCGAAATACTGTTTATTTAAAAGAAATGATACTTCTTATGAACATAAAGGGCTGTAATAATAGAAATATACTATTTTTTTGTAAAGCTTCGAACAATACCTCGAATAAAAGACTTCAAAACATAAGAGCATTGGCCACGTACATTTCAGATTTCTTCGTAAGAAAGGGGGTGCATGTTATACGGCGAATATACCTAAAAATGAAAAATTGCAGCTTGAAAGTATGGATGTGTATGCGATATATGGCAGTGCGCGTAGTACACTGGATTTTACGGTAATTCAAACTGTAATCTTTAAAATTTTATAAATCATATAAAAGTATAATATAACATATATAAGGTAATATAATTATAAGCAAAAGCTCTTTTATAACGCAACTCATGATTATATATAACTTTTTTAATAATTATTTTCTCGTTAAAATTGTTCTTGAATAATATTCGTAAGAGCAATGTTTTATGTTCGAAAACAGTTTAACAAACAAAAACTTTTGAAACAATTCTCAATACAATTTTCTCGCTTAATTCTTGATACAATGCAATAGAGTGCGGTTTAGAAACGAAGGTGCAAAAATGTGTTGTATGGAGAAAACCGAACAGATGATGTACTGGCGGCAATTACAGGTTCAATTATGCATTTAAAAGTTTTTATTGCTAGTAAAATAACTTAATTTTTCATTTCTTATTAGTTCTCAGTTTAAATATTGGATATCGATAAAGTATTTTACAATATTTCTTAGTTTTTCACATCACGTGTTCAGAATTTGGAGGCATATAAGAATCGATGGCGGCTCAAATTCGATTAAATAAGGTAAATATAACCACATAAAATATGAATAAATTTGAAATTTAAGGAAAAATAAATTATAGCTTAAAAAAACTAAAAAACACGCTTTTATGGTTAATCGAACTAAAAAGTAAAAGAAAAAAATTATAAGAATATAAAATGATTAACGAGAAATTTATATATAATATCATTGGGGTAAAAGCGTGGAGTGCTCTATATTAAAAGTTATAATTTCTTACTAGTTCCAGTCCGAAATGCTGAGTTAGTGTAAAAATATAGTACAAAGCTTTTCTCTCGCAAATCATTTTATTCTTATAGTAAGAATTATTTTGTTTTACTTTTTAGTTCGATTATATAACCATAAAAGCTTTTTTTTTTAAAAAAAAATTTAAACTATAATTTATTTTTCATTTTTTAGTTCAATCTACAGTAAAAGCATGTATTTTTAGTTTTTTTAACTATCATTTATTCATACACATTTTTTCAAAATTTTTGACCCGTGACCGAAAAAGTTTGCCCATGTGACTTAAAACAAATCCTTTTTTTCACATGCCCGAGTCTTTTTTTTAATCCTTTTTTCAGAAAGAATGGATCATTGTTTATGCTACAAAAAATTGCTGACGCAAAAAGATGTTTTCGCTTTTAAAGTTACTCTTAATCTTTTAGTCGCTAACCTAGAAATGGGATCTGGAATTAATTGCCAAATCCAGAAATGGTATATAGAATTAGCCGCCAAATCTAGAAATGGTATGTAGAATTAATCGCCAAATCTGGATTATCCTGTTCCGGATAATGGAATAAAATAAAGAAATTATTGTATTGTCATCGGCAGTAGCGCACACAGGAATTTTTCAAGGGGGGTGGGGGTCCGGAGTCGAATGTTCACCAATCTTGTATCATGCTCTTTTTGATTTTGTGGATTTTAGGGAACAAAACACAGTAAAAAACTAACTAGTGAATAAATAATTAGCATTAATTAATAAAATTAATCATTAATAACAAATACTTAATTAAATTTTACGTACTATATACTTAGAATTATAATCAATCGGAAAAAAATCAAAGGCTTTGGGAGGGGGGTTCGAACCCCAGGACCCGCCCCCCTTGTGTGCGCCACTGGTCATCGGTCATTGACAAGTGTGCAAAATTTCGAATTTATCTGACCTTTTAAAGTGGGTAAAAACCGAGTTCAAAGATTTCCTTACATACAAGTGAAACTTATAAAAACGTGTTAATTAGCATTTTTCAATACAATGCCTTTATATCGCATGCATGTAAAATATACAATAAGAGGTTCAGTTGTATCTAGATACTTGAAGGTAGTCTGCAATGTTGGTCTTAGATTAAAATACAGCCAGGGTAATTTCTCATCCAGATAGTGTCTTGCAGCTGAAAGTATAGAGTTTCTTCGTCAATAGACATTGTGTACCTTTTGTCGCGAGGAACACGCACTGGAGACAGAAATCTTGTCACCTGAAACGAAACGGCGGGGAAGAAAGATACGTCCCCTTAATTGCTTACACTCTGTAAGTTTCCCTTACAGACTCCTTTCATTTTCAGTCTAGCTGCGGAAAAAAAAAATGCAGCATTTTCCTTCCCACTGCGTTTTCGGTGCTCCTCGAACGCGTTTTGGGGCGCCCCCCCTTCCTGCGCTCTTCCATTCCTCGCCCTCGTGACGTACTCTAGTTTCGTCCTCGTTCGGCCGTTTTCTTCCTCCCCCTGCGGTGGAGTGATTTCAGATATTGGTCTCTCTTTCATCCTTTCCTCCGCGATTATGGTTATAAGCTATTTATTTCGCTGGCACCCGTCTCATCTAATTTTCGTTTTCGAAAGATACATCATTTTAAAATACATGTTAGGCGACTTGTCTAAGTCACGAACTGGAATGAAGGATTTGAGTAGAATCAACTCTTATTTATTCTTGTGAAACTTCATTTGTCCTTACCTTTTGTATTTTTAATTTTTTTTTAACAAAATGAACTAAGCTGTTTTGTTTTCTAATTTTTTTTATAAGGTGGTATAAAAATCTACCTTGCTAGTTAGGGATTGTACTCATGGTGGAGTTCGGTAAGTTTTATTTCCTGCACATATCAATAGGTTTCATTTCATCCCATTGTCATTTTCTTGTTTCACTTTTTATTTTCTTTCGGCTCAAGTTAATGGTAATTGCATGCCATTCCCTGCAGTTGTTCAAAGGTATGTATAGAACAGGGGTGGCGAATCTTTATGGATCAACGTGCCATTTTTTCTAAAGAAGCCTTTAATGAGGTATAAACGTGCCGTCAAATAATTTTGACTTGTGATTATTGGGACAATAATAAAACTAAATACTAACAACTCAAAACTCTTTATTTACTACAAAATTACTTTTTGCCCTGTATAGTTGTAAATGTTTTAGTTATACGCGTATAATTCAAATGAAAGTAACATTAATTTCACTTCTGTTGTTGCAGATTGGATGACAAATAACTTATATTAGGATTGTAAGATGTATCTTTTAGTGTGCAGTGCATTCTGCATTGGAGTCATCTGCCAAATGGTTTCTAAGCAATTAATTATTTTTGCTGTGGTTCACTTTTTTGAAAAGAGGATTTGTGATTTGCTTCAAAATGCCGTTTTACAGACGATGTTCTGCGTACCATTATTCTAGAACATAAAACACACACCGCTTTTCTGGTCTGTATTAATTATGCCACACACATATTTCTGGATTCACCAAGGTTGAAAAATTCTTAGTTACACGTACTATCTTGAAATTTTTGCTCTTTTGCTGAACTAGCCATATTAAATAATTGCTAAAAATCGTGAATATAACATAAATTAACTTTAAAATACAGTTGTGACAATGAAATTGTTAATGATATGCGTAGAAAAATTTTGCATCATAAGCAATTGTTGTCCACGTCGTAACAAAGGCAATCTAGTAACAAACGAGTGTGGTCCCTGTCGTTCTGTGACCGATCACTCGCGTTTGTTCGTAATACTTCATAGTGAACTTTGTTATTTTGAAATAAAAAGCAAAACATTTTGATCGCTGGCGTATCCAAAATATTGTGTCGCCTGCCAATGATGTCACGCGTGTCACTGGTTCGCCATCCTTAGTACAGAAGGTTAAACTCGCAGAACAGGAAAAAGTCGGCTATTTGGAGTTGCACACTAACCCTTGTAATGTTTATTCATCGATCCATTATGTATATCATATTTTATGTGGTGTGTTTTGAATTACGTACATGCTTGTGCCATGTGTTGAGGTATTTGAAATAAAAAGGCTGTGTTGTGTTATTTATATTTTTTTATTCACGGAATACTTTTTCTCGTTTATATTTATGTTTTTCTCAAAAAAAGAGAGAATTCTTTAAAAAGGAAATTCTGTTTTAGAAGCTAATAAGTTATGCTAATTAAATTTAATTAATCGATTAGCATCATAATGAAGTGGTAATATTTTTTTCTTTTGCTATGAAAATTGCATAAATTACAATGTGCTCTTTTTTACTGACTATGCATACACAAGTAAAAGAGTTACGAAAGTCAAGAACCGCTTGTATATGAAATTCTCATTATAATTGGTCAGCAGAAAAAGAAGAAATACGATAAAAAAATTCTTCCTTCCTTCCTTTTTTTTTTCAATTTCTACTATTAGTCCACTCTCTCCCTATATATATCTTATTCAAATTTTCAATCGTTAATAAAACACTTTTTATTCATTCATTCAAGTTCAACTACATTTTTTAAAATTTGTAGTAAAGGATACTTGATGTTAATACAGTTTTTCATATATTTCATTAATGAAATTTAAAAAATGAATAAAGAGAAACAAAAATAATAGCCCAACAGCATATATAGAAAGAAAAAGCGTTCGTTGTGTCCCTGTAGCGCGATGAATAACGCCTAACCCAAAGGTCGTGGGTTCAAATCCCACCTGAGATTGTTTAATTTCTAAAAATGCGATTTCCTTTTTACTACACTATTTTATTAGAATAATCAAATTTAATTAATGAATAAATTGTAACAGACACACAAAAATAGCCCAACTCCATATATAGAAAGGAAAGTGGAAAATCGTTTTCTATTTTGTCACTTAATGCTGTGATTCTGTCATGTATATATTTACATTAATTGTAACTATTTAATAAAAAGTAACCAAAGTAAAATTTTTCTTTGTTGACCTTAGTAGAAATTGACTTAATTATATATATATATATATATATATATATATATATGTGTGTGTGTGTGTGTGTGTGTGTGTGGGGCGATGTCTAGGGGTAATGATGAAATTTTGGACGAAGGAAACCGTAAGCCAAGAGTTTAAAGAACAATTAATTTATTAAGACAAGGAGCAGGCTATATTTGCAGCTTTGATTTATTTACAAGAAGATAAATGAAAGATAGTTGGAAAAGAGACCGCCATCTCTCTCTCGAAGTATATTGAAAATTTAAAACATTCTAATTATTCGAAAGTAAATAAATACTATTTCCTACATATTTCCTACATTTGTTTTTTAGATTTCAGCTTTGGTGAAATGAGGGATGTGAAGCCAGAGAGCGTAATAGTATTTCAACAACAGTGTTCACAATGCGGAGCATACAAAACAGAAACCGATGCCTCTGTCGCTAACATAAGTGGGAGCTATATTTGTGAAATTTGCATCAAAAGAGTTCAACAACAGAACTCCAGGCAGCAAAACAAGAAGAAGAAGAAGGGTCCCGTAAGTACTGCTTTCATTTTGTTTACTGCAAGTAAATTATTGAATTAATAATTAGCATTAATTAATAAAATAAATTAGTATTAGCAAATACTTAATTAAATGTTATGTACTATATACAAAATCATCAAACGAAAAAAAATCAGGGGCTATAGAAGGGAGGATCCTGACCCGTGGACCACCCTTTGTGTGCGCTACTGGGCGCTGTACATAGCCCAACAGTGCAATTATTTCATATATAACGACGGATCGCTGTCAATCACACGAGTGCTGACGGCACTCGCTTATATTCGGGTGTGAAAATTACAGCAGCATAAAATACTATTCCTCTCGAATTATCTCGAGTATGCACAGTTTGGTCTGTTTAACGCACTCGAATTAACTCTAGCGTACACTAGAACTGATTAATCTCCCCTCTCCCTTCCAGAAAATATTACATGCTCTTTTAATGTTATTTAAATTTCATTTCGACGTGGAAATGAATACTGAACTTGTATTATTGAAAGACATTACCGTTCTATATAATGCATACCAGTTGTGTGAGTTTTTCAATTTTTAGATATATATTTGATATATTTCTAATTTCGTTATGGATAGAATAATGCACATATTTTTAATGTAATCTTAAATTTGTGTCGAATTGTGAATTTTAATGGAATGAGTTACTTTTTTGTATTGTAAAATTAAAATAATTCTTTAAAATCAATTTTAGAATCTTTTGCTGAAATTTTAGGTGCATTATATAGGTGTTTAAAATTTTGACACACATTTTTTTCATTCTATCTAGGCTCTTTCCAGACGAAATGATCAAGTATGTTGCAACTGCAAAACCCAGATGACTGCTCTGTGGAGGCGAAGTCAAAATGGAGAATTCATTTGCAACGCTTGTGGCTTGTACTACAAATTGCATAATGTAAGTACTTTTGATCACTGTTAAGTAGTAAACAAATATTTGTTCAATTGCTTATCTATGGTAGCTTTATTAAGTAAATGCGAAATAAAGAATATTTCGCAACATAGTTAAAGGATGCAAGCATTCGAATTATATGTTATTCCATCTTCCAGTTTGAGGATTATAAGAAAAGTAATACAAATAAATATTTATTTTTGGCATATATATATATATATATATATATATATATATATATATATGTGTGTGTGTGTGTGTGTGATGAATCCCCAGCCCCATAAGTGTCAGTTGGGGTAAACTTCCTACCAGGACAACTCAACCCACCTCCCGCATAGGAACTTTGACTTCTACTTTCGCCGGACTTAAAGAAGACACGTGTACTAAGGACTCACTCGCTGCTGATCAACGCTGAAAGAGCTCTCGTTTTTGCCATGGCTTGGAGTGCAGACTCTTTATTGAATATTGAAATTAAATATAATAGGACAAACGGCTGCCCATTGCTATTTCTCCTGTCAATCCCAAAATTTCTCCAAAACATGATATATATATATATATATATATATATATATATATATAGATAGATACATAGGCAGTGTACTCTACGGCAACAATGTAAGAACCAGTGATTTTTTTAATATTATTATGGGTGATAAAGTATTTTCACTGTTTCGTATTGCATTGAACTGGGATTTAATAAAAAGGCGGGCTATCAAATAATTCACGAATTCACCCCCACAGAGGAAGTTGTAAATTGTAGTATTCATAAAGCTCGATTTGGTGCCTCGTCTGTCCCATAGATGTCCTGCTAGTAGATACCTGCCTCTTTACTGCTCCTGTCCGGGTCCAGAAGTACAGAGTGTCATGTCTGCCGCAATCATCCCGACCGCTGGGAACACAATTTCCGTTCCAACTTTCGCAAGCTGTATGACATCCGAACGTTTCGGAAATTTCAAAGTAGTGCAAATTAGTTGACCTGTTTGGGTTAGCCATCTTCTAGAATGGGAAAAGAGGTCACTGTATATTTAGGTTTCCGTGTTGTGTAGGAGGGCATAAACTTTTATTTTCATATACACAACAGAAATCCCTCTTCAATTAAATATATTAAAAGTGCAACAAAATTCCTTTTTTTTAAAAAAAATCTTTATGTAAGGTGTATATTGCTTATTTTGTAAGAAAAAAAAATATATTGATAAAAAGAGGAATTTTTTTTCTCTTTTTAAAACTATTTAAAAAGCAACTGTGTTTTGATATTTTATCACTTAGTATTCATATTTTCCTTTTCTATTGGCATATTTCAGGAATGAAAGAAGCATTTGAACAAAGTTTTAGTAAAATTTTTTACTTAAGAATTGCACAGTGGATCTGAATAAGCTACAGAAATTAGCTTGACTAAAATTATTACTAAGTCATGTCACACGAAATTTCCACGGAGAAAAAATGATATTTTGCTCAAGTAGTTTCAATTTTACATATTTTAATTTTTGTCTCTTATGTTTTCTGTTTTAGAAACCTCGTCCCAAAGACATGCGTAAGGATACCATCACGACCAGAAATCGCAACAAACCAAAAAGTGCTAATCGCAAAAAGGCGAACAACAACAGCCCACCTGAAACTGTTCCTATTCCTCCCCCGGGCCCTTCTACATCTTACGCCATCTTACGTAAGTTTAAAATTACTCCTTATATAAATTTGTCTATTGAGACTATGAATTGTAGTATAGGGGATTCTGCTTAAAATGTCATTGGTTCGTATTCGGTTACAGTTAAGCGATTGGTAAGCAAATAATTGATAATAGTTTCCCAAAGTTTTAATATAAGGAAGTGGTTTTCCAACTGTGTTCCATGGAATCCTGGGGTTCCATGAAGCATTATTCAGGACATTAAAACGTTAAAAGTTTTTTCTTTATATGCACTACCTAGAGTGTGAATGTTCTGCGTATCCACCTTAAAGTACATCTTATGTACATATAATTGAAAAAGGTCAGAAGATATTTCCAGAGTGCCAATAGTGTTATTCCGAGCTCGTCTCTCTTGCCCACATCTTGACTTGCTAGGTTTTCAAAAAGGACGAGGTCCTTCTGGATCCTCTTCTGTTTTTAGACTTTCTTGATTTTTTTTTATTTATGATGGAGATTGTCTAGCCTTGCTAGACAATCTGGGATTAGAAACAACAAAATATAATTGAATTAATAGAATGAAATTCATTTTTGGGGGGTTGGGGAGGGTATCATATAATTGATATATAACTCAGTAAGCATTAAGTAACATAAAACGATGGCTTGAATAAATATTTGCTTCATTTTTTGACATCGTAAAATCCATTTTCAAAAAAAGTAAATACTTATTACTTATAAATGTAAAAAAATACTTGTGCATTTACATTCGACTCTTCGTCAGTCACAATGTGCAAAAAATGTGCGCAGTTTCAAATTTCCGCGTCTGCCATCCTCCTTTGATCTGGGTTGATATTCCTGAATACTTACCTTCTTTAGGATCTAGATTATGGGATTAAAAAAATATTTCTTGAAAACATAAGGATTTTTTCATTATTCAAAACACATGATTTCCAAAATAATTTTTTGAAATTCTACAGCATTTGATTCTAAATTTGGACTAAGTGGTGACCTATATAAGCATGAAAAAAAACATATACTGCAAAAAAATTTCAACTACTTTTTTACACAAATACTACCGACAGAAGATTAAGTGATCCGTATGCTTGTAAAGATGCATTCACATTTTCTTGGAAGAAATTTCAACTTGTTCCTACAATTTTAAAAATATATAATTCAGTGTTTTAATATAAAATTTTATTTTTTGTTGTAATAAGATACCTATTCTGAAATCAGTGAAGTAATAATATATCTAAAACTATTATTTTCCTTTCAGCTCCTGGTAGCTTAATATACAATCCAGGAACTCCATATGGAAACTGAACAAGGCATGGAGAGAGAACTTTACTGATTGCTTAAAAGCTAGCAATTAGGTATCAGTTGCGTCAGTGGCGTACATGGACTATTTTTATCGGAGGGGCTTACGTTTTAAGAAACATGTCGATGAAAACGCCAAGGCATGGCCATTTTACTAAAAATTAAAATCTCTTGGTATATGGTAGGGGCTGGAACCCCCAAGCCCTACCCTTGTGTACGCCACTGACTTTCATTTAAAAGCTATGGACTGAAAATTTTATTTAATAATTGTTGAACATCATTATGTTGTGTTTTGTTGTAAGGAAGACAGTTGGAGCATTTGGCGAAGTAGTCCAAACTATTCAAGTCACTAACACCAAATGTAGATTTTATGTGTATTGTCTGG